ACATTTCAAAAGATCTGTTATTTCTTCATGTGGGTATAGACTTTCTCTTGGGTCTCACAGGCAGTTTCTTGTTTTCTGTGAATTCAGCAACTAGTTGGTGATAAGTCTTACCCAAAATAGTTAGCCTAACCTTTGAACAAGAGAAAAATTATTCTTTGCTGGGAAGCATATGTAAATGCAATCCAACAAGCATTTAATAAGCACTTACTGTGTGCAAAGGATATAATGACATAAGAAGGAAAAAAAAGGACCTTGCCCTCCAAGAAGAAAACATATTCCCAGCAAATCTTGCAGAGCTTCTACAGCCTTCAATGACCAGCATCCCCCTAAAGTCACAATGACTATCAAAGGAGGGCTTTATTAGAGAATACATGGTAAAATACTGTCATTTGCTAATGTGGTGGAAAGGTGGGACCACAATGCAGCAATGAATTTTGTCAGTATAAGTATTCCCCTTCTTTTTGTTTGTTTTTCTTTTGTTTGGTTTGGTTTTTTAAGTTTTGTTTACACATTAAAGTGCACTTTCTAGCATGGCATTTTCCAAGAGCCTCCAATATAAAATCCACAAGTGGAATTAATGTGTAGTTTTTTTATAGAATAAATGTTTTGAGAAATCACTGCTATTGTAAATGTCAAATAACATTAAATGTTAAATGGTAATAGTGTGCATATGGAAGAAAACTTTGCAGCAGGGATTTAAATAATTAACTTTTAACCAAAATACAGTATATTTTCAAGAGCACTTAGTTGAACAAATGGCCATTCATAAACCAGTATGACAAAGATTAAATTTGGGGTGAAGGTAGAGAAAGTAAACTTTGGTCATTTTAATAAGTAGCATGTATCAAGTTAGCCCCAGTTCCTTCAATAGATTAATTATTTCAAAAGGGATTTTGTGTAAGCTTTGTACATTTATAAAATTGGATTGAGGGAGATATAAAAGAAGAAGAACATTTGCTGAGATGTATAGGTACATAGGTATGGAAAGCATTAGCCTCTATACTAAGAAGACCTGGATATGAGTACTGCCTGTAACCCCCCCGACTCCCACCACACACCTATGTACATGCATATACACACATACCTATGTACATGCATATACTAGAGATAGAGACTAGAGATATATAGAGACTAGAGATAGAGAAACAGACAGAAAGAGAGAGAGAGAGACAAAGAGAGACACAAAGAAACACAGAGAGAGAGACAGAAAGACATACAGACACACAGAGACTTAATGCTTTGAAACAACACATCTGGTCAAACCTAGCCAGTAGGCCTGGTTTGACATAGTGCAATCCACCACTCACTGTATGCTGGCAGTCAGAATGGTAGGCATCATTTTTAGCAGGAATTTAAGTAGTCCCTCTGTGATTAGCCCAGAAAACTCAGATTAAATAATGAGATAATAAAAATCAAAGAGAAGAAGAATGAACTATATCATTACTTTGTTTACTGAGTCCAGTCAGTACTGGGCCTTCAGCAAGGAAATATAAGTTCAAAATTGAGCTCTGTTATATAATGATTTTATTACCAGAGACAATTTTCTGAGTTGTGCTTTCCGCATCTCTGAAAGAGGGATAATAATATTTGCACAAATTGCTGTCATTGTTAAGGAAAGATCTTTGCAAACTTTGAAACACTAAATGGATGTGCTTTGTTATTTTTACAATAATGTAGAACAACACAAAGCCACTGTTTAATAGTATATACAATCTATTTAACGTGTTATCTTCCATTTGCTTTGATTTCATGTAACACACAATATTTAAATCAATTATTAATATTCTCTGCATCAAAATATATAGTTATCATTCAGATAAACTTTCATATTATACTTCTAAATATTGCTTTTTATTAATAATCATAATGACCCTCTTTATTTTTAATCTCTCATAGCATTATTTATTAAATTTAATTAAAAGGAAAAAAATGCTTTTCTATTTTCTATTTTGTCTTAAAAAACCCCCACAATTCTGTATTATTTGAATACAGCTCTCATTTGAACTCAGGGAACAGTATATTTGACAATAATGGTACATTAGATACCATCTGCAAGGTCTTGAAATTCAAATTTTGAGACTTCTGGCTTCTAAAATCATAAACTGCTCAATTTTATGACATCTTTTTAAGCAATAACCAGGATTTTCTTTGGAATTTGGGCACGCATGATTCTTTTATTTCAGTGTTTCTAGACTGTCCTTAAACATCTTCCAAATGGTTTAATTTTTTTTCTAAAAGAAGTTTTATTTATTACTCTTCTACTAAACTGCAATACATTTATCTATGTTCCATTGTTTACAGCTTGATAAATTTAATAATGCCCCTTATCGATCTCTAAAGCCCTACTTTGAAGCCCCATTTTGTAAGCTGGTAATCTTGGGTTCTCAATGGCTGTGCAAGTAGAGAAGCCCTCTGAAAAAATTCTTTCAAGGTGGAAAGGTTTCAAGCAAATGTTGGGCAAGGGGTGTAGTAAAAGTACCATATTGATGTAAGCAAATTTGGACAATATTTGTTTTGTTCAATTTCCAAAGTTTCTTATCCAATTTTTGGTTAAGGAATGAGGGTAGCATCAAAGTCCAATATTTTTCAGTGCTGAGGATTTTCCTCCCACTCTGTGTTAACCAGAAATCATTCTTCATAAAGAAGAGTTAAGAATCTCTGCAAACAGAGGATCCCTGGTGGAGCGCCAAGGTTCAAGGCAGACACTTCATGGCAGAGTCTTTACTCTCTCTTGAGCTAAAGAATTTGTCTCAAATACAATAAATTATAGATATACTAACTTTGAACATTTTAAAGGTAAATTGTGACTCTCCTAGATCTAATATGTTGCTAATTTTTGAACTTGCCTGCATCAGTCCAGTTTTGCTCATGTAATCCACATCCCTTCCCTCTACCTCTATGTTTTTGTCTATATCCACATGCACTAAATTATTTTAAAGGAAAGTAAGGGACAGGAGACAGCAGAGAATTATGTGTGTTAGGCTGCCAGTATCCATATGCTGCTGCTGCTGCTGCTGCTGCTGTTTGCAGAAACCTGCAAAGAAGGTATTAATCTTGATGCCAGAGCACCAGGCTGAACACAGTCCTAGACAGCCATCCATGATGCAGCATGGTGGGAATCAGTGTCTCCAAATCGTAATACATATCACAAGAGATATCACAGCTGAATGTCTTAATTGATCCTAGGGCATTATGTGAATTATCAGCATCATAGTGACACAGTGGCTGGTGAGCTAGACTGAATTAGGACAGCCAGAGTTCAAATACTGCCTCAGATACCTGTTATACAATCTTGGAAAAATCATACTCTCAGTCTCAGTTTCCTCATCATTAAAATAGTGAAGTTAATAGCACCTCCTTCACAAGGGTTGCTGTGAGAATCAAGTGAGATATATGTAAAGTAATTTGCAAGTTTTAAAGTGCTACATAAAAGCTACCTGTTGTCATTATCATAATTATGCAGATCCATGGACTGTTGACACTACCAGTTTGGGAGACCATATCCGTTTTCAAGAGTGGGGTGAGTGGTAAAAACAAAAAACAAAACAACAAATGGGAAAAAAAAAAGCTATTAAAGGACCAGCTAGGTGATGGAGTAGATAGAACTCTAGCCTTGGAGTCAGGAGTTACTGAGTTTAAATGTGGCCTCAGACACTTGACACTTAGTAGCTGTGTGACTCTGGGAAAGTCATCTAACCCCATTGCCTAGCCAAAAAACAAAACAAATAAACAAACAAAAACTCTTTAAGGTTATTTTTGTTTTGCTTTAATTAACAAGGGTGATTTTCACCAAGCTAAAAGGAATTTAAGTGAGCTGATTTGGAAAAGTGGTGATGTTGGTATGCTTTGAGTTCCTAGTCTTGTATATAAGTTCTCTATGATGCTCAAAAGTTTTCTGCTCACTTTATAAAGGCCATTAGAAGGAGAATCTCTTGACTGTACTCCCTGATAATGTATGTTATATTCAGGCTAATGATAACTGACATTAAAATAGTGCTTTAATATATGTCTACTTAGTTCCTCCTTTCTCAGAAGGACAAAGGGATTGGTGGTCATCAAAGGTACTGTAAAGTACCTGAAATAGAATTTACCTCAGTTTGGGATTGTGGAAGTTAGCAGCTCAGAGACCAGGGCAGTAGATCCAAAGGGGAGTGGCTCGGGTCATGCTATGCTAATGAACTGTAGAAGTCTGTGGAAGCTTTTAACAGCTAGAACATGCTTGATTCAGAGGCCTTGGTCTCCAATATTCAGGTGATCAATCAACAAACTGGTTTTAAACCTCTTGTGTTTAAGACATTGGCGACACAAGTACAAAAGAGGAAATGATGTCAACTCATCATTTTAGTTTGCATTTTAATAGCCAAGAAAACAAATGCATATAAAAATTTATACAACACAGATGTAAAGTTAACAAACACACATTTATACGTGTGTGTGTGTGTGTGTGTGTGTGTGTATTCTACCTACCTACACAAAATAGCTAACTATGAGGAAATTTGGAGGGCAGTAGTGGTTAGAGGGAATAGGAAAGGCTTTATGTAGAAGATGGTGGGTACCTTGGATACCTGACCTGGATATTAAAGGAAAAAAGGTAGGTGAGAAGGGAGTACATAGATAAAAAACTCAAAGAGATCACCAAAGAATCTAATCTGATTTTTTTTTAAATTTGAACACTATGTCTCAATATGGTGTGTTCCTTTTTTAATCACGTTTATTTTATTTTGTATATTTAAAAACATTCTTCTGAGAAATAGGCTTCAGATTGTCACAGTGATTGATTAAACACACAAGCATATGTGCACACACATACCCAACACACACACACACACACACACACACACACACACACACACACACACACTGGGTTAAGATGTCCCAATCTAGACCAGCCCTCTCTTTTTACAGACAAGAAAACTGAGACTCAGGGAAGTTAAGAGTTCTACCTAATGTTATAAAGGCCATAACAAAGAGAGGCAGGATCTGAATATATGGTCTCTTACCCCATTACCAGCATTCCTTTCCCTCCTCCATGCTGCCTCTCAGAGATTTCCAAAGGTCGTTGAGTTAAGTGATTATTGTCAGAGATTTGAGTTACATTATTTTAGCTCCTTTAAGATGCAGAGAGAATGCTGGTTATGCTTGCCTTAGAAGGGATGACACTGGTTCTTCCACAGCTTCAGAACACTGTAGTCCTGAAGATTCTGATAAGATGATTAAACTGGGACAGTAACAATGAATCCTTGGCATCATATGGTACCTATCTTCTAAGCTCCCCAGGAAAACCTTACAAATACTATATTATCTCCTCTCAGTGGCATGCCAAATACTACGAAGCAGAAAGAAGCACAAAAAACTTGGATGAAGCGTGGGAAACAGCAAGTCAGTGACAGATCTGAGATGAGCTCTCTCCATTTTTCTTTCAATGATCTCTGGCCTGCATTATGCTGGAACATGAGAAAAAAAAAAGATGTGGAAAAATAAGAGGTTGTGGCTTCTATTTTCCTCCTGAAAGCACTCTCATTATGATCCACAGAAGTACTTAAAATTTAAGTATTGTTGTTTTTTCTCTGTTCTCACCACTAAACCTTGAAACAGAGTCATAAACCCACCTCCTTCATTTTTAAACACAGTACTCATTATCTTCTGAGGGCTGCCATTGTGAAGGTCTCCTTGTCAAGGTTTCTGCAGTGGCTCCCCTTTGGTTTCACATTTTTAATTGGCTTAACCAAAAAGAACATAATCTGTACCTGGTAATGGGAAGATATCCAAATTTTATATTAGCTTTTTTATCTCAAGTGGCTATCTTGAGCAAGTAGTGAATACTAACAAATGCCTCATAAAGACCTCTGTGAGAGGGGGAAGAAAAGACGATCTTTACCTTCAGTTCCTTTCACTACTAGACTACATGGGTCTGTGTAATTTCCTCTAGTTGCCATCTCAGCCATATTGGAAGCAGAGTTCCAATGAGCTGGAATCTTTTTTGTTAAGGTGTTATTTTGCCAAGCTGTTAGAGAATTGCAGCTGGGGCCAAATTTGTTGGCTTTCCCAACAAGGCTGAAAAGTGTCCATAGATTTTCTGAGCCCCTTCCAATATACCACAGCAGCTGCTGTGTTTATGCACAATACCACTGAGTAAGTGTCAATTAAACTACAAAATTCAAGATACTTAGTTGGGGAGCAGCAGGTAATCAGCGCATAACTGGCAGTGAGGGCAAGTAGGAAAAGATGCCCACCTTTGGGATGTTTAGTCAAACTAGCAACTACTTCTTTGTTTTGTACAGAATATGGATTTTTAAAAACAAACATCACAACAACACTTTTTGACCAAAATAAACCAAACTTTGTAAGGTTTAGAAAACAGGAAATGAAAAAGTACATTGTCATTGCTTCTGCACATGCCTTTTTATTTTTTTAAGCAAAAAAGACATGAAGAACAATTTTATTAAAAGATTATAGGAAGCTACAAGGCTGCCAATAATCGATGTCAAAGTGGCATTTTACTATATTTCCACCTTAGTTCATCCTTTCTCAAAAAGACAAAGGGGGTGATGGTCCTCAAAGTTCCTGCAAAGGTGGACAATGGATGCAAAAAAACATCCATCATCTTAACCTTTGTGCCATAGGAGTTTAGCTGCCATGGCTGTTTCCATCCAGGGGCAGCCAAGAAAATATTAATCAAAGATATTGCAAACCCCATTATCCTCCTGCTTCCTTTGAAGACTTTTATATTAATTGTGTCCAACCATGCAAAAAAAAAAAGAAAAGAAAAAGAAGAAAGAAAAGAAAAAGAAAAAGAAAGAAAGCAGGAAAAAAAAATTTGCCATGATGGGTCAGAGTAGATTGCCGTGCTTCTGTCACCAAGGGGCACATTGTAAGAGAGCACAGTGGTCCTTCCAAATGTCAAACTGGAAAGATGTACCACAGGTCATTCTAGCTTCTGTTAATAACACATCTTTCACGTTTTAACCTCCCTTTTCTCCCTTAAACTTCTCATATTTCAAAGAGATGTGACTACCATACCTAACCCAGTTGGGAGTTAATTGATTTTTAATTATTTATAGGTTTATTAAAGACCCAATGAAATGTATGCTGGTTTTGATTTAATTAACTGCTCCTTATTCCAACAACTAATGAGGGAAATGTGAAAGTCAAGGATCTAGAATGAGTACATAGAATAAATAAAAAAGAATAGATGACTAGGTTTCCCTTTTCTACACTTGATCTCTCAGTGATGACATGTATTTCTCTCATTCCCTATACCACATCTATCCATTGGTCATATATTTCAACTAGAACAAGTGTAACCTTCTACTAATCTGCATTTCCATCTACTTCTGGGATATGTCAAAATAGTTGGAAAAGCAGTGTCATGTTATAGCCTATAGATACCACTTATAAGTGAGGAAATTGCTTAGGATGTCTTACCAAAGGGAGTTTTTTCTGACCTTTTGACTTAGGGTTATCATTTCTATTAAAATTTCTAGTTCTCTGTGATTTTCTCCAAGATCCTTAACTAAAAGGGACAAGGACACATAAATCTTTAGTGGTTTGGGGGTGGGGAGAAAATAGAGGTATACCCTCCAAGAACCTTCCCAGAGAAGTACGCCATCATGGCAGGGTAGGGATACAAAAGCAAATCTAAAGAATTTCTGTAATAGCAAGACTTTGTCATCCCATTGATGTCTAACTAAGATAAGGAATTACATCAGGTATCCCTGAGCAAGGAAGGATCATACTTTCTAGCATGGTTGGATCCAATGCACAAACACCCTGGTGGAGAACAATTCTTATATTCCCAGTTGGCCATGTGCCCATAACATAGAGTGGGACTGGTGGTAGAGAGTAATAGGATAGTGGCAGGATAATATATGTGTCTGGCAGATTCATGATGGCATGGTGAAGAGAGATGATCCAGGGTAATATAAAGATGGCTATGCATTAAAGATTCCAACCCAACATATTCCAATGGAAGAGAGATAATATGCCCATGGTTTTTATATCAGAGTTGTGAGTCTATAGGACTCATAACTCCACTTATATTGGGGAGAAAGAAAGCATGATTCTAAGCCCAAGAATGAAGACTCTGGCTGATTTCTTTTGTTTCACTCTTCATATCCACACTCAACTAAATATTCTACTGTTCCATATGATCTATTGCTTTGGTTTGTTAGCACTGAAATTCATTGACTACATAGATGGAGATTAATTTCAGAATTTCTAAGATTTATAATTGGATAGAAACAAGTTATCAAGATTAGAGATTTACCCGTGGACACCTCTGTGAAGAATCTAGAGCTATTCATAAAAAAATATATATATATTTCATTATATCCCATTGGCAGAAGAACAGGGGTCAGAGGAGCAGTATTGATCATGTGAACTGGTTATTGAAGTCGAAGTACCAGGGAACCTTTTCCTTTCTGGCCTCAGTTTTCAAGTAAGCTGCTTTCCCAGTTGTGTTATATTGTGAAAAAAGTACTATATAAGAAGTCAAAAGAAGTAGGTTCTATTCCTAGTTCTGCCTTTTTCTAAGCAAGTGACTTTGATCAAATACGTTCACCTCTATGAATTTTAGTTGTTATTATTCAGTCATTTCATTCATGTCTGACTTTTTGTGACTCCATTTAGAGTGTTCTTGGCAACTATTCTGGAATGGCTTGCCATTTCTTTCTGCAGCTCATTTTATTTGATTTTTAATGATATTTTATTTTCCCCCAATTACAAGTAAATGCATTTTTACATTCTTTTTTTTTTAATTTTGTGTTCTAAATTTTCTCCCTTTCTCACTTCACCCCTCCCTAAGAAAGCAAGCAATTTGACATAGGTTATATATATGTAATGATGTAAAACATATTTCTATATTAGTCATATTGTGAAAGAAGAAACAGACTAAAAGAAAAAAACCTGAAAAAATAAAAAAGTGAAAAATGGTAGATTTTGATCTCTAGACTAAATTGGTTTTTTCTCTGAATGTAGATTTTTCATCACGAGTCCTTTGGAACTGTCTTGGATCATTGTATTAGGGGAATGGCTAAGTCATTCACAGTTGCTCATTTGTATGATACTATTGTTATGGTTTACAATGTACTACTGCTTCTGCTGACTTTACTTTGCACCAGTTCATGTAAATCTTTCTAGGTTTTTCTGAAATTAGCCTGCTCATAATTTCTCATAGCACAATAATATTCCATTACAATCATATACCACAATTTGTTCTGCCATTCCCCAATAGATGAGCACGCCCTCATTCAGCTCTTTTTAAAGATAAGAAATTGAGGCAAACAGGGTTAAGCTTCTTTCTCAGGGTCACACAACAAGTAAGAGTCTGAAGCCAGATTTTAATTCAGAAGATAAGTGCTCCTGACTTCAAAGCCAGCATTCTATCTACTATGCCGCCTAGTGGCCCCAAGAATCTTAGTTCTCCTTCCATAAAATGGACATAATACCACCTACTTGATCCAAAAGTTGATTTATTTAAAAGAATATTACTTATATGAATGAGCTTTTTAAAAAGTAAAAATCTCTATGCATGTAATGATGTTATCTCACTTTTGTATGGGGGGAAACAATTCTTTAATATTCTTGCTTTTTCATATCCCACTATACAAAAAAAATTGAGTTATAACACAAAGGATATTTATGCTTATTTAACAAGATCATGAAAATTTTCTATACTTGAAGTCACGGAGTAACATGTAAGGAAAGATTGTGATCACAATAATAATTACTATGCATATGGTGTTTTATAATAATTTCTGTTTGTATAGGGTTGTAAGATTTGCAAAAAAAAAGTCTATGAGATAATGAGTGAAAGTATGGTGAGCCAGAATTTGTTTGTTTTTGAAAGGGTCTGGGGAGATACAATCCTGTGAATTCATTAGTAGTAAGAACCCAGAGTGAGGCAATCCCCTCTACCATTGCAATTCAACACTTCTTCTGTAACTGATATTCTTAAAGAGCTGACTAAAATACTGAGAGGTTAAAAGACTTGCCAGGGACTAGAGAAAATATTCCATTTTTCAAAACAAGGAAGTGAGTAGAATCCACAAAGTATAGTACAATGAGTCTCACTTTGATTCCTGGCAAAATTTTAATGAAGTGTTAGGAAAGACGTAGAGGGTAAACATTAAGAAAAGGAAGTGATAACCA